GGCAGAAGGATTCTAACTGTTAGATGATTATCATAACACTAAAGTAAGAAGGCACAAACTTGGTATCAGTGGTGAAAGGGAAACACAACTGCAAGTGCCACACCTTGTGTATGAAGAATTTTAAAATGTGGTTCTTTGTATGTGTACATGAGGATTCAGGTAAATTATTCCATCACCATTTCCAATCTGTGCTTGAACAGCTCTTAAAAAAACACGTAAATGACCAGTAGTGAAGGAAAAATTAGACTGTCACCTACATTTAATGTCTTATGAAGTAGGGGCATTTACTCCTTTAAAGAATGCAAGCATCAATTCTATCAGGGACAGTTCATAGCCCTTTGTGAAGAAAGTGGTCTAGCAGTATAATACAGGATCCTTTTTAAAGAAGTTCGGATACATCTTTTACTGTACCTAGAAACTGGAAATAATTTATTCTGACAGAAGCATTTAAATTTCCAGTACAGTTACTAGTGGTAGGTACCTATGGAGATATCCAGAAGGAGATTTGGTCTGCCTAATTTAGAGAGTCAGACATAGGAGTATCTTCTGCTATTGCAAGATTTTCTAAAATTAGGAAGGCTTTAACTGGTTACTAGAAGCTCCAAGTAATGTCCATTATTTTCAGAAGTGGTAGCTTTTTGAGATTGTCTTCTGAAAGAAGAAGCACACTGTAATGACTGAGGTCAAATTGCCTGTAATCACAGCTCCAAAATACCATACTTACTTCATAACATTAGTATTTGTACTTGTAGGAACAATAAATTAATCATGTTTTTAAATTATTGGGGAAGAAAGAAAAATAATTACCATTATTATTCCTGCCATATGCAACTGACTTCCCTTATCTTGATTGCCTATTAGAGTGATAGTTGCAGATTGCGGTACATAAAGGAATATGCACTGAACCCATTATTTGCCTGCCGTGAAGACAAATGAATGAAGAAGATCCCATCATTTAAAACTCTCCAAAACACCAGTCTGTACAAGTAAGGATTTTTATAGAAGAAGGTGACTTTGTCAAGCCATATTCAGCTCTGACTGGTTCAGCAGAGATTATGTCAGTTCCTCTAATTGCACTTTGTTGCTGTGAATACGAACCTGTGGAGTGCAGAGCACAGATTACAGCACGGGGTCTGATGGAATCAAAAAGTTCTACTGATTTTTTGGTAAATCCACTATTTACAGAAAAAGGAGGTTACTGGGAGCCTCTCACAAAGGAGAACTGCCCAGAAACCACAGCCTACTGAAAAGAGATAATGTCACTTACAAAACTAGTTTGATTTCAGGTGTTAAAAATTTCTAACAGGAGAGAACCTGGAAAACAGACCATGTTTAAGCATTTTATACTTACATATTTTAAAGCTGATTATTTGCTTGGGATTTTTATGCATTTGCATATCTAACTGGCAAGAACAGAGGAGATACTAAAAGAAATCTCTTCTGCATGTAGGGCAGAATGATCTTGGTCTGTTTTCTTATGTACACATTAAATATAAGCAGGAAGGGATCTCAAAGATGTCTGTTCTTCTTTTGGTATTTGATAATATTTAGTCATTTTTAAGATAAATATGTTCTGTCTGATTTTCTGAGAGCTCACTGCATCCTCCTTTAAATGGGCTGTCCCTTTAAATCTCAAAATAATCAGTTACTTCTTGCCTTCTTGTTGGAAATCTTGAAAGGAAGAAGGGAAGTTCAATGCAATTGCTGATAAAAGTGATCATCTGCTTTGAAAGCAAAGAGAAAATAAGGTTTCATAAAACTACGAAGCTTTCAAACAGAGTTTTTATACTCTGGATTTGCTAGAAAGAGTTACTTTTTCTGGTCTGGAAGGACAAAATGTATTCAGGAGATGCTTTTCAATTTATCTTAAATGATGTATTCTAAATGCAAAATTGGCCACCATCTTCAAAGTAGTCCTTTTATAGTTTAATCATATCTTTTTAACAATTGGACAATCATATAACCATAAAATGAAATATGTGTGTATATGTAATATTTCTCTTTAGAAAATGGTACATTTCTAATTTGTGTGTTCAAATTGACTATCTCTTGGAAGGGGCTCAGAAACGTGACACAAGGGTGAAATCCTTCAGAACAGACACCTAACTGCAGGTGTCTACGGTATAGATGCCAACACGTGGGCAATGTACCCAAACTTCTTCCATATTGTGCAAGACTAAAGCATTGTCCATCTTATCCTGAAGCATACATTTACCCGGGGCTGAATGAACAGCTCTCTAAGGTCCATGGAGCAGATCTGTACAAAAGAGAAGCTTAAACACCAAAATACAGGTGTCTGATTAAAGAACTGAACTCCACCCCTGCTACAAAAAAATGTCATAGGTTGTCACTGCTTAAATTGCATTTCAGGGCATTTCACCATTTTTACTGTGAAAAGTACTAGAAGCAAAGCTTCTGAGTCTTTGTGCACATTGATATTTACTAAGTGGCAGAGACTGTTCAGTCCTGAAGGCCTCGGTACCATCGCAGGCAGTACAAGCAAAAGAAAATCAGGCTATACTTACTGTGTGTACACAGAGCTCTGACTATGACTGGGAAGGAGGGACCATATCTTATCATGACAGCATGAGACAGAAAGAAATGTTACTTTGATACCCCTAATCTTTAAATGTTTAAAAGCTGATGTGAAAAGTCAAATAAACCTAAATTATCGCTCTCATTTCCTTTTTCCCAATATTGGGAGCAAACAGGTGCATACAAAGCAAAACTAAATAAAAAAATTTACTTGTTTAGTAAGGTTAGAGCAACATGGGATTTGTATAAAAATATATATAATTGCTTCCATAAATAGCAAGGTATATACCAACCTGCCAATCCATGTCACCATAAAGCTGAATTAAAGTACATAAACTTTTATAAATTCCAGGAATGATTGGTTCTGAAAAGCATGACAAATTTTTTGTTTATGTCAAATTAGCTATTTAAAATTTTGAAGTTCAAAGTATTACTGCTTGAATAGAGTGCTAGACTTAAGTATAACTCTGTCTAAATTTGAGGCGACACCAGAATCCATTAAGCTCCTCTTATTTACTTGTCCATCATAAGCTTAATATGTGATTCATCCTTTTCTTATCAAAAAGGACAAAAAGGTGTTCTTTTGTATTTGAATCTCTTATTTGCACTCCTCATCCTCCTTTCCTAAGCAGTAAATGGTAGAGAAGAAAGCTTTTTCTGCAGTTTCTTCAGGTTTTTTTTTTTTCTGAGGAAAAGCTGTTAAATGTCAGGTCTCTAAGGAATTTTATGCTCTTTATCCCTTGACCCTATTTTCATACTCAGAGCTACAAGAAAAGAAGCTATCCCACAGAAAGATAACATATTTGGAGCTTAGTAAGAATTTCAGTATGTAAATTGTATGTCCTTTTCCTCAAGACCCACTTGACTCTTTTGGGAAAAGGGAAAGTAAGCTCTCAAAATGAAGTACTTTATAATGGAAATATTCTCTTCCACTCTTTCAGATACTCCCTCGAGGAGAAAACAACACAGTTCTTAGTCTCTAGAGGAAAACAGCACTATAAAATATACGGTGCAGATTTAATATCAAAGGATGAGGGCATTTCTGATAGATGAAAGACCTTGGGACTTACCCAGTAAGATTTGCAAAGTTTATACTTGCATACTGTTTTGTAGCTCTTGATTAAGCCATAGCATCTCTTTGAATGGAAAACTGCATTCATTTTACCACCACTGTAGTCATCATTTTAGTAAAGAAGAGAGAAAAAAGCATGCTAAAATTGGAGGGATACAAAAGATATTTCTTTTAAGAAGGAAGGAAAAATGATGGCCTTTGAGCTTCAATCTTGATGGCACTTCTCCCAGAAAACACTACTACTGATGGAAAAGAAGTTTTTCTGTTTGTTTCTCTTTTTTTCCCTATTTCGCCACTCTTTCTTTTGTTGTCAGAGAAGAGCTATTGTTCACAAATTGAAATATAAGAACTAGAGGATTTACTTTGTAAATATTAATATCAGTAATATTTAAACTCCAGAAACCATGTGGGAAACTGCATTTAAAAGCTATTAAAAGATGTAGACAAAAAAATTAAAGCAAGCCCTCAGATGGAACTAAATGCACTAGGTAAGGCAAAGACATGTAATATCTCTAATTCTCATGCTGGGGAATGAGGCAGAGAAAGGGAACAGAGGCCATAAAGGTGCCAAGCGTGTGTGCTCTCCCTTTACCAGTGCAGGTGAGAGGATACTGGGTTAGATCGGTCACTTGACAAGAAATGCCAGTAGAACATTTCTTGTCACCAAGTCTTCAGATCAGAGTGAAAACTTAAATCTTGAAACTGAAATACAGAGCTGTTAGCAAAATAACTGCTGGCTTCAACAGAATCAGGCTTTTGTCCTGTAGTTCTGGCTATCTGTGCATATAAATACAGCATGTAACCAAAGATACCTGTAATCCTGTAAAGTTATTACAATACTTTATTGTGTGGTACCATATTAGAATTGACTGCCTTGTAAGCCTTAAACTAAGTAAGTCACAGATATGTATATCAGGTAATGCACACCAACTCCTTTAGCAAGCACGTGATTTTCATTCACACTTCCTAGTTTTTTATCTGGCATCTAAACAAAAAACCTTGCAGCAATATTAGTTATGAAAGAACACAGATTTAGTAAAGAGGGAAGAGGGAAATTATGTTTTATTTTTATTTAAACATATGCACCCAGTTAATATACCTAAATCAAACTGTTTGTGCTTCTGTACACTTACTGCGATGCAGAGCTGTGGTACTTGCAGGTACAGATGGCCCAGCTGCCAGTCTCACTTCCTACACTTATCTACCATATGCAAGCTTTTTAACTAAATCATTTTTAATAACTGAAGTGAGACAGCAACTGGTGTTTCGCCGTTGATGTGCATTCAGCAGTAACTTGAATTAACAATTAACCTTTAATGTACAATAAATTAATGCAGTCATTAGTAGAGTGGTAGTTAGTATTATACTGTATCTATGGGAAAAAGCAGCTTACCTGAATAATATGTTTCAGCTTGTCAATAATTCGACTTATTACAGGATCTGTTCCCTTCACTTTTACTTCTGGATTTGCAGACTGAGCTTTGATTCCACTGCCAACCACACGACGTGTATAGCTAGTTTAATACAGAAACACACAGAAAAATGGTTTAATAACTTATTCTACTCTCACAGAGTCATCTTTTAGTTTGTATTACCTCTCATGGCACCAATATTCCACTTTAATGAGATGTATTAATTTTGTGCACATCTTTTTGACAAAAAAAAAAGAAATATAGCATAAGATAATTACTACATTCCACAAAGTTCTGTTATTTATTATAGCTTTAAGTTTGTACAGTCTCTAATAAGGAAAGTTATCTACATTTTGAACCACAAAACATTGCGCCCTATGAATGGCTTTTTTGTGTCTGTGCAAAAAGACTGTTCTCCATCTTAGTTTTGCTAAATATGAACTCCAGGATGATTGCCTAAATGTGTCACATTTCAGTTTTAAAACAAACTCCAGGTTCTACACACACTGCATGTTCAGAACTAAACCTGAAGTTTCCTAGTGGTTTTGTGAGTGCACATGCAGACAGAGTACTTGTTGCAGGACAACAGTCAAATTGTGCATGAATTATTTAGCATTACATAAATTATGTAAGTACAGAGGCCAAAATGTACTTAATATATAGATACGCAAAAAAGAAATAGAAACCAGATATATGATGATTCCAGAAAGAACTGCTGTTGTAATCAGAACATTGTTTCTAATACATCAAAATTCAAAATATAGAAACTAAACAACCTAGCAGAATTCTGTGGCTTATTAAGATGCAATTCTTCATTCAACTTACCGTGTTATATGTAATACTCAAGTTATGCAAGAAAAACTGAATATCCACCTTCTCATCACAGATATTGTACAGTATGCAAATACCCTCCATATGTTAGATTTTGCTTGCATACTCTGTAAGAGGATAGTTCTATACATCTCTGTCTCAAAAGTATTTTGCCAGCTGTTACGCTGTCAGAAAAAGAAAGGAAATAACCTTAACAGAAGTGGAGTAAAGAAAAGTCTAATTCCTGCCCGTTAGATTCGCATATGAGCATAGACAACACAGCATATTCTAATTTTGATGATTTTTTTTAAATGAAAAACATTACACGTTCTCTTAACTCTGCAGAAAATCTGCCAAACAATGTATGTAGTTCAGTAAAACAAGGTTGCCACATAACAATAATATTTTGTCTTTGATCTTTTCTTGAATATCACCTTCAATGAAATTTAGGATATTCCTAAGGAAATGCACACATTGAATATATGAATGCTCACAGTCTTCAAAAAGTGTTATTTTGTTTTATAGCAGACAGCTTTTTGTGCTGTCTTGTGGCAATGAAGCTATTTGGCACCTTGAAGTGATGGGGGAAAGCTTTGTATAGGGGTGTATAAAAAATCCACAGCCTGCTTGCTAGTGGATGATTGTTTAATGCAGCAATTTGAGAAGGATCAACAAATCTTTGCGTAGTTCTTAGTTGAAAAAGAAAAGCAAACGTAAAAACCTTCACCAAAAAAATCCTTTGACAGTCATTTGTCTGAGTCAAAATATAAATCAATAAGGAATTCATTCCAGCTGCACAATGCTGCACTCACCAGAAAGACAACTGGTTTAACTCAACATGCTGGTTTAATGCAACACAGAAATTTCTCTTCATACCGTAACATTATAAAAAGTCTTGAAGGTTATGGCTATCCTTTCTGTGCAGTGCTCTTGTTTTCTGTTGCACAGCATGCAAAATCTCTGTTCTCACTTTCTGTCACTCAGAATTCTTCAATTAACACTTTTTTTTTTTTTTTTACATGCTGCAAACCCAACTATTACGCATTCACCTGTGAATTGCATAACTTTGAAAAAGACTAGCCTTTCTCCTTTTTTAATTCAATTGATGATACTCATTTCTCTAACCATGCAGGAAGAAATCAATCACACAGAAGTTGAGATTTCCCTAGGCTCCAATTTTATCAATTTAGCTCACCTGGGAATTATTTGGTAATGATTCATTCAAGACTGACCATCATTTCTTTTTCAGCTATTTCTACACTGAATCCACAGCTTTGCACAGCTGGTATGTGCAATAGGACTAACTCATTTCTTTTATATGACTGAAAGTAGCTAGGAAAGTCGTGCTGTCTGGTGAGTGGACCTGATATTAGGAGTTCCAATTATGTTCCCCAACCTCTTCAGAGCTGACATTTTCTGAATTCCTTTTCAGCTGTGGTTCATAAGGAACTGTTGGATTTACTCACCAGTAAAAAGTGTTAACAATTAATTTGGTTTTCTCTCTCTCCCACTTCTACTCATTCTCTTATAATGATTAATTTTCATATTCTCATAAGCAAAAATACATATACATCTGCTCTCAAGATAGAGGAACTCTATTATCTATTAATTTTTCTTGTATTGGAAATCCCAACCCATATTAAATCTACTTCCACTGCAAGGTGATCTGGATTTGGTGAACTGACATAAAAACTATCATTTAACTTTGAGTCTGTTGTAATTACATGTTCTGACAAGTCATAAAGCAGATTGAAAACCTTTTTTCTTTCTTCAGGTGTATAACAAGGCATTGACAAAAGCTTATGAAGTATTGCTTTATTGATTATTATCATAAAAATAAGATTATGGAAGTCAGCCTCTTTTTGTTTAATCTATTCTTTGCTCCTTGAAATGGTATCTTTTGCGTACAAAAGTTATAAATTACTTACATGTTGTTGTTTCATATTCCACGTATCATTGTGCTTCATTAACAAATGTCTATAAATCTAACATCTTCAAACATACTAATGTAAACTAAATGATCTATCAAAGCTAAAGAGCCTATCGGGAATCTGAGCATGGTGCACAAAACTTCATCCCTGTAGACTTACATTTACATGCAGAATATGTTTCCCTTTAGTTGGAGGAGGGGAGGAAATGTAAAAATCTCAGACTCTTGCTTTGAGAGGCTTCATTTATTAGAAAGTTTTAATACAGCATTAATCACTTGCTGTTTCTCTAAGTACTAATGTACAAGTAATGGCAAAAACATTTTAAGGATCCCCATAGAGGTAGTCTGACTTGAGCAAGTGTTGCTCAGATTTGAATCCTGGGGAAAAAAAATGACAAATTTCTTGCTAGAGAAGTAATAGACCCGCCATCTGTGCTCATTTCTGTACAAGCATGGTAATGTATCACATCGCTTTAATAAGCAGACTTGGTCCCCAAGTACTATTCATTTTCATCAACATTGGAAAAAAAACAAGCGCCAATACATTTGTATTCTATAAACATGTTTTAAAGTGATGAACAACAAGGTACCCATTTCCTGAGCTCAATATATGAATATTCATATAAATTACCTATTACTCTCTATTGTATCTATGAATAGAGTTGGTGGGGTTTACATTTCATTCTATCAAGATCTCTGATAAAAGAGAGGATCATGCTTTATTGGCTATCACCATTTTCTTGGTATGTGCAATTAATTCATGTAAGAATGAGCCATTTTGGACATGGTGCTTAAGGCAGATCCGTATCTCTATATCCTTCCAGCACAAAATAATCTGCATTATATTGCGATGACAACAACTACTGATACATCATATTTATTGCTATGATTTTCCCTGTCAAGCTCCTTTTAGGCAATTGGACCATGCTTCAAGTGGGAGATTAAAGCAACGAAAGGTGTATCACTATAGCAAAGGCTATTCTGCAGAACATCCCTAAGTGTCCTGGCAGTCAAGCCTCTCTCAAAAGACCTGGTGATGTTCTACACTTCAGCAAGTTTAGCTGGTCATTCCATCCTGATGTATTTCTTTCAACTGCTACTATCACCTTCTATCACTGCCTTCTTCTGGTACTAACAGTATTTTCCAGAGCTCAGTATTGTGCTCTGTCCTGTTTAACATCTTTATCAGTGGTTTGAGTATTGATCTGCTGGAGGATAGCAAGGGTACACATAGAGATCTGGACAGACTGGACCACTGGGCTGAGGTCAACTGCATGAGGTTCAATAAGACCAAGTGCCAGGTCCTGAACTTGGTTTGCAACAACCTCAAGCAGCGCTACAGGCCTGGGGCAGACTGGCTTGAGAGTTGTTCAGCAAAAAGGGACTTGGGTTGCCGGTCAACAGCTGGCTGGGTATGAGCCAGCAGTGTGCCAAGATGGCCAATGACACTGGGCTGTTTCAAGAATAGTGTGGCCAGCAGGACCAGGGCAGTGATTGTCCATCTGTACTCAGAAGTGGTGAGACTGCACCTCTAGTACTGTGTTTAGTTTTGGGCCACTCACTTCAAAAAGGACATTGAGGAGCTGGAGTGTGTCCAGAGAAGGGCAACAAAGCTTGTGAAGGGTCTAGAAAACATGTCCTCTAAGGAGCAGCTGATGGAACTGGAGCTTAGTCTGGAGAAAAGGAGGCCCAGAGGGGACCTCACTGCTATCTACAACTATCTGAAAGAAAGCTGCAGTTATGTGCTTGATGGTTGGACTAGATGGTCTTGAAGGTCTCTTCCAACCTTGATGATGATTCTGTGTGATTCTTGGGCTTTTCAGTGTTTGGATTAATTGACACTATCAAGAGCTACTCACGAATCTCTATGGTAAGTTGTGGACTTCCAGGGTCATGACACTGAGACAACTGTTCTGATTGTGAAGGGCTTAATCACTGGGGTGCATTGCCTTACCTCTGAAATACTCGTGTGTATCAGGTTACACAGTTGTAGGAGGTTTATTTGGGTATTTGCACCAGCTGTGCATAGACACTGCCTGACAAAGCTCATTTTGTTCATCACTTTGTGGCAACAGGATTCCCATCTCCATTTTCAGTATTTCATGTAAAATGAAATCTTAACTGATAGCATCTCAGTAAACTCCATGACAGGATACAGACAACCACCACTAACTCCTCATCTGGTAAAAATGGAGAAGTGTCTCCACTGACTTAAGTTTCTGCATTTGAAACCAGTTTGGTGTAAATGATGCAATGCTCACTTCCATCTGACTGTTTGAAGTAAGCACTGAAATCCTAGGGAAATAGTTTGAAAGCAGGTGTCTACTTCCTGTGGGTGCTTTGGGAAAGTCCAGACATTAAG